ACCTGAACCCAAATACGTACGATGAACTCTCTCCGTGAGTCTGAATGGAAATACGCTGTTTTTTCGAAAGCCCATGCTTTTGTAATAAGTTTTAGAACGTGATATAGCTATGAGGAATGCTGTCCAGATTTGCTGGTAAGAAACTGCCTCTGCAGACTCTTCTAAGTGTTTTAAAAATTTTGTCTAATACCTGTACAGGTAATCTCGTAAAGAGAATTCTCTACTCAAAGCTAAAGTTGCAAGATCATCATACCCACATAAGGCGTACACCAACCTTAGACCTGTCCCATAAACATGTTCGATTTTTGCGCGCTGTTTTTCAGTGTAGTAAAAACTAAGTAAAGAAAAGCTGGATGAAGTGAGGCAATGAAAATGCGCAAAATAATTTTCTTCTAATTTTTACTTCATTTTACTGTATGGAAAAAATGTTCCTGCCTTTGCGCATTTATTAAAAAGTACAGTGATAGTGTTTAATACAGTGATAAGTATTCTGGAGGTAAATTCTTAAGAAGAAAAGCTAATGTGTTCATAATGTCAAGGGACTTTTTTGACGGAAATTTTTTCCACTGCTTTAAAACTTCATCTAATTTAATGTTATCGAGAAAAATATGGGGTGTATTTGGGCTCTTTCTGTAAGCTTCTGCGCAATCTAAATGAAAAGAGTTATTACTGTCATAAACAGGTACAGAGAAATACTTCTCATAATAATCAACAAGTCTATCAACTATTTGTTAATTATCTTTTACGATCTCAATTTTGACTAAAAGATGGAGAATAATGATGGAATATATTTTTAACATGGTACCATACAGTATTCCCTTCTCTCATAGCTTTAACTTTCCTTTCTCTCTTCAAACTCCATTCTCCCAGCTATAAAAGGGGAGTAAAACAAAACAGGGAAATGATCGAATGTGCCTTCCTCTAATCTTTCTACATTCCAATTCGAGTTATCTATCCCAATTCCGAAGTCGATCATTGAATGAATCATCGAACAGGTCAAAAGGTGGTAAACGATGAGGAGGAATGTAGACGCTTGCAAAATTTAGTTTTGGATTTAAAATTTCTAACTCGAACAAAAGGAAATTTTCCTCTTGCTCTACTACTGAACTTTTTAATTTATGAGCCAGGACAACCACTCCGTCATTGTAGCTATTTGCACCTTCTTGGCTATACCAGTTGTGCGATGAGATAACCCATTGGCAAATTTTCTGAGAGCAATCTCAACAAAACGCGAAATTTTTATTTTTTTAAAAGAACGGTGAAAAACGCGTTTTTTTTTATAGAAAAAGCTGGAAAAAACGTGATTTTTTAAAGTCGATTTGAAACGAAGAAAAAATACTGGCGTTTCCTTCCGTTTTCTTGACTATTTGAGAAGAAAATCCGTTTAAACGCTTTTGAACAAAAACGCGTTGCTCTTCGTTTTATTTTTGGTTGCATTTGAACGTAATTTTAGGTTTATCAGATATTCTTTGTCAAAAAGCGATTTAAAAAAACGATGAAAATTTTGCGTTTTGTTGAGACTGCTCTCGTAGAAAATTTGGCAATGGGAAGCGGCAGCTTATGTATTAGAGCGCCTACTCCAGTTAAAATGAACACGTGAGGAGAGTGCAAGGAGAGAAGAGAATCAAGATCAGAAAGATGAGTACTTAAACCTTCACAATTCCACAAAAGAATTCTGATACTGAGAGGTCCTACAAGTTTAAGAATTTTGTCATATAATCGCTATGGCTATGTTCACACTAGGACTTAAGCAGCTTAATTTTTTCGCCTTAAGGATTCTGATTGGTGCCTTTACGAAGAAAAAGTTAAGACACCAATCAGAATCCTTAAGACGAAAAAATTAAGCTGCTTAAGTCGTAGTGTGAACATAGCCTATATCCTTCGTATTTTTGACTCCTTTTTCTCTGTTTGCTATAAGCGTATATTTGACAAACTACACAGAAACGAGGGTTTAACCTCGATTCGTTCCTAGTTAATCATACTCACTTTTGATGCCGATGTCACAGTGGACCATGAGCGTGGCACAGTGTGCATCGAGGCGGACATTAGGTGAAAAAATGAAAGTCGACTTTTCGACGATTCAAATAATGATTAATATACTTCAAGTGATGCTCTATTTGATGACAGAACAAATTTTGTTACAAAATTTATGTATCGTGGAAAAACAGCTAATCAAAAATTAGCCTGAAATAGTAGTATAAGTGAAAAAAATGAAATTTTTACAGCAGTTAATGAAGCTGTAATAAAAAACGACATATATTCTAAATCTGCATGACATCAGCTATAGATCAGTAAAAAGAAAATTTTAAATTAGACTTATGATAGCTGAGAAAATTTTTTAAAAAAAATTTTCTCAAGCGATTTTCCGAAGGGCTAAGTTTGGTAACGTGAGCGCGCGAAAGCTAGCGAAGGTCCAAACTTAACCAAACTTTCACAAAATGTTCTCCTATATGCTCTGCATCTACGGTGAATGCGCAAAAATGCGCAAATGTTTCTGAAGCATACAGCGGGTTTTCCAAAAAACCTGAGTTTTTCAGGTATTTTCCATTTTTCTCGGTTCGGAAACGTTTTTATTCAACAAAAATTACATATTCGGAATCAGCGCAAGGAACTGCATCGAATGATGCGCGATTAGTAGGTCTTTTTTTAGCAAAAACTTGTTGGATCTAACGGAACGCTAGAGTCGAAGCATAGCGTGACAATTTTGGCTAAGGATTTTAATATTTGCTATAGAAGCAGTCCGAAAGTCTATACACACTTTTTTACAGGTTTTCAGATATGCTCTTTCCAATGGCGTACTTTACAAAATTCCAGAGTACTTATGTGTGGGTTTTCTAGAGAGCTGATCTCTGGAGAACTCAGATTAAAATCTCTTGGAATTTTGTAAAGCACGCCATTGGAAAGAGCATATCTGAAAACCTGTAAAAAAGTGTGTATAGACTTTCGGACTGCTTCTGTAGCAAATGTCCGCCTGGCCTATGGAAAAATGCACACTATGCATGGCATTAGGTGAAAAATCGAAAGTATAATTTTTCAAGATTAAAATACACCGTAGTATAATTTGAAGAACGTTCTGTCCAGTAGTATAAAAACGTTTGTTACAAGTGGCAAAAATCAAGCAAAAACATATAATCAAAAAACAGCGTAAAAACACCTTGGTAAGCAAAGTGTTTTATCTTATTTAAGAAGAGGAAGTATAAAAATAATATATATTGTAAATCTAGACACTTTCCACCATCAATAGATGAAAATTTTGTTTTAGTTGGACTTAGTGCATCGGGCAAAGGAATTTATATTCCAAAGTTAGAAGTTCTCTGCTGTGGTGTAGTGGGTGTAAGGAGCTTCCACGCTCTCAAATTTATCTAAAAACATACCAGAATGTTCGTCTACATCCATCCAGTGCATTTATGGTAAGTGTATATCCATGCATATACTTCTCTGGAGGTTTCCCCTTGGTTTGTGTGGTAACATCTATTTTTCTCGGCATAGGAGCGTTCCTTTTGAAAATCAAGATGTTATTTGGAATCAGCGCAAAAAACTACACCGAACGATGTGTCATACAACACATTTCCAAACGAAAAGTTGATACAGAAAAAAATCGGTCGCAAGGCCTAAATTCGCTTTTTGACAAAAAAAGGTTTCGATTCAGCCATTTGCAATAACGTGTTTCAAAACGTAGAAAAAATTCATTGTTCAGGTTGTCGAGCACACTTTGTACTCATGCCCCACAGTGGGCATCCAAGAGGACATTTAGCAAAAAATCGAAAGTATACTTTTCCAAAATTCATTTAGGAAATTTTTATTTAGGATGAATGAGGAGGAAAAGAGGACGAGTACGATGCCAGGTCAAAGCGAACAGAAGTGGAAAATTCTATACGTGAATACCAGAAAAAATATTTCGATACTTACCTTCAGTTTTCCCAAAAAATATTTGCCTTCTCCCACTCCCCCTATTGCTTCTAACTCGTTCCATCGTCTTTGACTAAATTTTAATTCAAGTAACCAACAGGGTTACTGCTTGAATAAGGCCTTGTCTACACTACAAAAGTTAAAGGAGCTTTAAGCAATTCTATTGGCTTAAACTAACTTTTAGCCAATAGAATTCCTTAAAGCTATTTACAAGTTGTTCCAGATATGTTCCTTTAAACTATTCGCCAATCACTCATTGATGCTGTGGAGCTAGTGTATAGAGAGTTTGCTAAAATAAACACACAGACAGCAGCGACTCATCAACTGAATTTTGTACAGAAAATGATCATTATAGTCTAAGTACTTTTCCTTTATTGAAGTTTTCGCAAACAATTTCATCAAGAACTGCTGTTAGATCAACAAATAAGTACTAATCAAGTAACAGGATAAGTTTATGAACAAAAGAGAAATTTATATACAATAAAAAACATGTTTACTTATTATCACCGTACCGGTTATCTGAATGATGCATAGAAATTTGACTCAAAATAATAAATGTGAATAAGAACCAAGCAAAAGACACAAACACATATAGACACAAAACAAGGATACTTGTGAGAAATTTGATGGAAGAGAAATTTTGAATTTCTTTTTTGTACGGAGAAACATTGAAGATCAACCTATTTGAAGTTTCTTTAAAGTGAATGTACAAGTCTAGAATTAATAAGACTCTTAAAGATAAAGAATAATGGAGTAAATATCAAGTAAAGAAAACTGTTTTAACAGCATAAATGGTTCACCTAAATCTGATGTAAAAAAAGGAAAAAAGTTCTATATCACTGCATCACAAAACAAAAAAAAGCAAAACAAATGAGGAAAAAGTTCATGTGCAAACTACTGCTTACAAGAATAAAAGTTCATCTAGCCTAGTAAAACAAAAAATAACTTGTAATTACATTCTGTTCGAACCATCCATATAGTATAGCGTATAAAAAATTTTTTCAATCATCATGATTCTCACACTTATAAATTCGAAAAAGCAAATGTGACAGAGTGTTCTCTATCACTCATTGATTTTGAATTTTATCTCTCTATATCTTGAATAATTTAAATTGTTGATCTTGTGTTAATATAAGAATATGTCGATGTCCAAATAATTGTATGGCATACGGATCAATATTTTTATTATTTACATGAATTTTTACTAAATCATAATTATTTTTCTCATCAAGAAAATATATTTTTGTTTCATCTTCTTCATTAATAACTAAAAACCAACAATGATAATTATTGAATAAAGATGTTAATGATAAACATGAATGATTAAGTTGAATTCTATGTATTCGTTTCATATTATATTTTAAATTAAATATATCAATTTTTGTATGAGAATGAACACCTAAATAAATACAAAAAAAAAAACACAATAAAATATTTAATTATTAAGAAAATGTATCTACTTAGATGAAAATTATATTTTTACCTATAAAATCATTATTTAATTGAATATTAAATATTTCAATATCGTCATCTTCTTCACTATCATATAAATAAATCATAAAATATCGTCGATATAAACGCCATTTTGAATTTTTTGTATCAGGTGACATTAACCAATGTTCTAAACAGGCATCAGACATTGTATTTTCTTGTTCTTCTTCACGTCGTTTTTGACGATAATTATTTGTTACGATTATCGTTGTTGTTCGACGATTAATAACGCATAAATCTTGATTAAAATTTGTCATAAGACTATAATTTCCTTGATCGATTTTGATTGGTTGAAATTTTATGGTCATCAAGTTTAAACGATATAACATTTTTGTTGATGAGAGAAGAAATGATGATAAATAATTTGACCATGATATTCCTAGAGGAGACAATAGACATTTGTTATATAAAATAGAAACAAAAAGAAATAAACCACTTTTACCTTGTAAAATGCCATATTTATCTTGATTCCATTTAATATCTTGTTGATGTTTTAAATATTTATCAAATAATTTTAATTTTGTACCACAATGACTTCGAATTAAAATAGAATCTAATGATACATCATAATATGTTGAAACATTTTCCAATGTAAGTTGTTCGACACATTGTTGTTGTTTCAAAGCACAATGAATATCTTGTTGATCAAAATTTGTTTTTTTAACTAAACGAATGTATTTATCAAATGATGGTACTGTTGTTGATTCATTATTTTCATCTTCTTGAAATGATATAAATTCTAATTTTAGTAATGACAGACGTTTAATGGATTCTAATTCATCAACTGTTCGATCTAAACTAGTAAGAAGTGAGAGAGTTTTTATTGCATAAAAACAGCTATAATTAATATTAGCAGCATAGACGACGGAGTTTGTTGAAAAAGACTCAAAATATTTTCTTCATCTCTTTCCATCGAATTTTCACCAATGCGTTCAATCAAAATAAAAGATCTTAATGTGAACACGAATAAAATAACCGGTAAGTGAATAAAAAAACTGACATGACATAAAAACCATCGAAAAACTGTTTTCTCTGTTTATTCATCAATATAAAACTGGAAAAAATTTTGCTCAAATCACGAAAATCCATTCTCTCCTCGTATGTAAGGGTCAAACCATATGTCTCAACAAAATGTTGAACCCAAAAATAGATGAGATTCGAGACTCTTAGAACTCGCCAGTCCACCATTTATGTTCAGCAGTTAACAACTTCTTTATTGATCTTCTTTGTTGTATTTACCTAATACTTGTAAATCGATACCACTCTGCTGCTGTAATGCATGTGTTTTAACCCGTTCAAAATCTTTTAATGATTCATAATAAAATTCATTTATTGAATTTAATATTTTCTCATATGTATGTTGTATGGAATTAATCATATTTTGTTTCCATTCATTGAGTTTTGTATATAATTCTGTTGAATATTGATCATCAACTAATTCCATTTGTTGAATTTTTAATTGTTTAGCATATAATTGATCTTGAATTTGTTTTTGTTCAAATTTAATTTTAACTTGATGTTCAATATCATGAGTAAGACAAAATTTAAGTCCACAATGTAAACATTGAGATGTTGATGGTAATGAACAAGGTGGCGATGATTCACAATTTGAACAAAATTTTTTACACGATGAAGACATCTGGAAAAATAGAAGATACTCAACTAGAATCTGATTAGTATCTCACGGATCAACACACACACGCTAGAGGTCTGCGGGACCAAACCTTTTTGGTCCCGATCCCGTGGAAAGAACTCATTTTTAGTTCCGGTCCCGTAAATATTTTTTCATAGTAGCGCAGATAGTTTGAAAGTTAGCGCGTTGTAATGCGGAGCGATTTTTTTTCTCGCAGAACTGGTGCCTACATACAAACAAGCACCGAAACCAAGAAATTTTTATACTCTATACAAGGCTATTTTCGAAAAAACCTGCTCTTGGTCCCATTAAAAGCCGCATGGGACCGGGATCGCTCCGCAGACCTCTAACACGCATGCATACTCGAAAGACTCTTTAATTGTATGAATTACATATAAGTAGGATGCTTGACATTTTCAATGCATCTTGTTGGTGAATTAAATAACAGTTATGAAAACCAACATTCAATATTACATGAGAAGATAAAACATTTTAAAAAAATAACAAAATTAAAAGAAGGACATTCAAAAAGAAGTGTTACAAAAACATTGTTCATTTCGAAACTGATCATATCTTAGATATTTGTTTCATCACTTCATAACATTTTTAAATTTTTCGAAATCTTAATCAATGTTTTAGGTCTCATATTAATAGAGAAATTTATTCACTGTATGTAATCAACAATACTTTTTTCCTTCTTGCTTCTTGTTGAGATTATATCGATTTCTCTTGTCACCACCCATTAACCAAAAACATAACCATTTCGTTCAATTCTTCATTTAACAGTCGTAATTCAAGATGAATGTTTCTGATATCGAGGTGTCTTTTGCATAAAAATCGTTTGCATACAAATGAATATACTATTCTATTCCAATTAACTGATGATGCAGCTGAAACAGGCTTTTCACATTTTGTCTTTCGCTTAGTTTTTGAAATAGTCGACTTGTTACATTCGTATTCCCATGATTTTTTGCCGCATTCAATAGTTTTGTTCACACTAAACACTACTGGAATATAGAATAATTTAGTCGATTCACACACACACAATAACTTTCTCGTTCATGCGGTTTATTCTCTCTTTCGAATTCTTTGATTAATAATTTAGCTTTATCATATTGTTTGTTACGTGCAAATGCATCAGTCTAGAAGACATGAAGAATATAAATGTAAGAGTAACAGCAGCTATCCATTTTAATTTTATTTCAAATTAAATTAAAATGAATTTCATAACAGCCACTGTTTCTCTTACATTTATATTGAAATTATTATCCCTCAACAAGTTAAATATAGACATGAAAAACAAATAGAGATTGATAAATGATGAACAGTTCTTGTATTATCGCAGTATAAACGTATTCGTTTTTATGTTCTTTGTCATTTAAATTTCTGTAGCTTGTTGAAGAAATCCAGAGTATGAACAAGCTAAAATAATAGTCGTCTCTCCTTGTGATAATGTCAAAAAACCTTTTTCTTTCATTTTTTAAGATAATGCGAGAGCTTCGTGTCCTTGACCATTTACTTCATAAACATTCATTATTGTATTGTACACTTCAACTAAACAATTATCGGCAATTCTATCAAATATTTATCGAACCAGTTGACAACTACCGCATTTTCCATACAATTAAAAGATGACTGGTAGATGATCATGCATCCCGCTTAATAAACAACTAACATCAATCAGTGACATCTGTATTTGTGATTTATGTTATCTGAATCTATTTTAACTTCATCAGTTGCAGCATAAATATCTGGTCCAATATCTTAAATAAAAATGAATAACTTTACAGTTCACACTTCGCCTAGTTCAAACTTTTATTTACCCAATGCAGTAACACCAATTTGAGCGCGAACGTTCAGTAAGCTTCAGCCGGAAAATTTTCCTCATAATTCATTTTCTTATATAGTTCCAATGCTTTGTGTACCATTTTATTAAAAAATATAACTTAAACAAAGAAAAAAATCGAATAAAATGATGAAAGCAAGAAAAATATAGAAATCATACCTTTCATTAGTGATCTATACGTGATTACTGTTCGCTGATGCCTTTTCAGCTGGTTAAAAATTTCTTCAGCTTTTACGATTTGACTACATTTCGAATAAAAATCGATTAATGCATTTGATAACAATGGCTCGTTTAAAAATTATTAAATTTTGTTCATTCGATAACAATAGATCGTGAATAGCTTTTCCTACAACGAACAGATAGGAGAAAAAATTTCTTTCAAGAAATACGAGATGTCTTACCTTCTTTAAATTAAAGATTTTGGCCTATGCATGAATTGTCATTGTGAATATTTGATGATCAAACGGTATCATTTTACATTCAAGCATTTTATTAAATAAGTCTAACATTTTTTCAAATTCTCAAAAAAAAGTCGTTTGAAAGATAACGTTGTTACTCACAGGAATTGTACCCTCTAAATAGATGAAGAATGCAACGATAGGTAATACTTGTTCGTATATGTGTCGTTCTTTTTCTAAATTTTTTATTCCAGCACACGATGTTAAAGCTGTTGAATACGTGTAGCCGGGATTCCAGTAAGAGGTGGGCCAAACCTTTTTTCGGCCAAAGAAAACAGTAAAAAGATTCTTATGTAGTATTTTTATTTTTGATTTCAATCAAAATATTTCTTTCTACTGCGAAGTGAAGAAAATGAAATTTCTAAGGGGTTGGCCATGTGCGTGTGAATATCAGGCACTAAACCTTTCTCTAACATGGCATCAAATAATTTTAACACTCATTCATAAGTCGATTTTATATTTTATTCTTTCATAGCAGCTGTCAGTTTAATATTTTCAGTTCCTGACGATCGACCTTCGATGGAGTTTGACAACGAAATTTGAGATGATGGTATGGGTGGTAAAAAACGTTTTTTTATTATTAATGTTTGACGAGAACAGCGATTTGTACGATTAAACACCTTTTTACTAATTTATGAAGCATGATTAGAGATCTAAAATAAAAAAATGATATTGAACAGTATAGGCATGATCTACTGTCACTTTTCAGCATTCCATTTACACAAAAACGTTGCCAGCTTTCCGTTCACGTACGGATAGATTTTGATTTTCCATGTTCACACCATGTATCATGTGGGAGATATTTCTACAGAAAACAGAGAACTGCTCCCATTAACCTATGACGCTTTACATGCTCTTGCAAGTAATATGAACAAAATTCGTTTGTTTCAATTCAGAAACAAATATACANATTGTTTTCAATATTTGTGGATTCATACGTATTTGCATTAGTAAGTCTTTAATTCGTATATCTAATGTTTTTGACGAATATTGAGAAGAGTATGATATTAGAGGAGAAATTGATGTCCATAATTTAATTTCATTTGATGTTAATTTTGGTTCATGTAGACGTCGACGAATCTCAAATTGAATTGTGGCCTACAAAAAATAAATGACATTGTCTATTAATCAAAAACATGTATCATGTGGGAGATATTTCTACAGAAAACAGAGAACTGCTCCCATTAACCTATGACGCTTTACATGCTCTTGCAAGTAATATGAACAAAATTCGTTTGTTTCAATTCAGAAACAAATATACAATCTCTATACAGCAACTAGTTTAAAGATCATTCTAAATCAGACAGAACATCGCATAGATCAACAAAAATTAGTCATCAGTACATATTAATCTACTTAGGACAGTAAAAAAGTTCTGTCACTTTGAAAAGAAACGCCTTGTTTAAGATTGCATCCCCAACCTGGACTTCTCTACTATCGTTAGCTCGCTCTGATAGATACAAAACTGTCATCAAAATATCTTCATGTTCTTTCCTTGCAGAAAAGATTGAGATGAGGTTCGCTTAACCCTTAACGCCCGGCAACTAATTATGCAAATCAATCTTGAAACATGTATACCTTGGTTTAGACTTGACGAAAAAGTTTTTTGTTATTAGCAATCGTTAGCTTAGCGAGTGTTAGCTTATGCTGGAAAAAAAATCCAATTGAAAAGTTTTTATTGGAAGGGATCAGCTAAAACTGGACAGACGCGAGGGAGTCATAAACTTCAGTTTTTACCTGGATCTTCTTTATGGATGAGCAACATCAAAATATCTCCACGTTCGTCTAATTATCCTAAGTAAATTGAAAAATTTTAGCATAATATATCTAAAAATCACTTACCGTCAGGATATCAATATCTTAAGTATTATATTTCATTTCAATAATAACAAAAAAAATAGATATCTTTAATTTTTCAACGGTTCAATATTAAAAATATTGTTCAATTACAAAAAATATTAAAAATTCGACAGGTATATACACACACACACACACACACATACATACAAAAAACAAAGAATTCATTTATTTTGGTAATTGCTCATCAATTTTCAATAATGTTTGGCGATCGTTTTGTACAATTTCAAGAATATTTTTAATTCCACGATGTATTTCATGTAAAATATCTTTAATTGTTTCCAGTTTTTCATTATCCAATGACGACGTAGCTAGAGAAGTCCAATTAATTGTTTTCAATATTTGTGGATTCATACGTATTTGCATTAGTAAGTCTTTAATTCGTATATCTAATGTTTTTGACGAATATTGAGAAGAGTATGATATTAGAGGAGAAATTGATGTCCATAATTTAATTTCATTTGATGTTAATTTTGGTTCATGTAGACGTCGACGAATCTCAAATTGAATTGTGGCCTACAAAAAATAAATGACATTGTCTATTAATCAAAAACAGTGTGTTAGTCATCTTTACTTTTAATATTCGATGTGAATATTCTAATAGATTTGTTTGATAACGTTTCATTTGTAAACGAAATGTTTCACATTGATCTTTCACTGACTGAATTTGTTGTCGAATACTGACTAATTCCTGTTTTTGTGCATCATATTCAATAGCTTGTTGTTTCATACGATCACGCAGAGCTACAAGAATTAGAATGTATATCTTAATAACACTATCGCTACCATGATTTTTAGGGCGTTTTCTAAAAAGTTAAAACAAATCGATGGACTAGACATTTTGGGTTTGAGCAGAAAATTTTTTCAATTATCATATACAAAAAAGAATGTCTACGCTCGTTAGTCTGAATTTATCCCATTTTCATGTCATCTCTTTTTTACATCGAACTTTGTTCAGAGCTGCTAGATGAAGAAGCTTCAGACCGATCAATAAAAATAATTTTTATATTGGAATAAGGTAGCTACACCAGTATTTAATAAGCAAAAGACTAAATAAACATACCTTTTACACCGATAAGTGCTACAGGCAATAACATCTGTGGTTTGGGATTTTCTTTTTTAGCTTGTTCCCATATAAACGATGTTAAACCTAAAATAACGAGATAAGTGACCAAGTGAGATAAAAGTCATTAGAATGACACATTTCAAAGTCACTTCAATGTAATTAGATATGTATTACACTTTGGACCATGACAAAAAAGGCTATGTTATATTATGTTTTCCAGAAAGAGTCCTCATAAAAAAATGCGTACCTGCTGGTGTTGAGTCTAGATATTGTTTATATTCTTGATCTGTTAAATCTGTTCGAGCAAATATCTGAACGATTCCCATTGATTCTAAATGTTGTTTCGCATTATTCGTCAATAATGTTGAGAGTGATTGAGTTGGTTGAGGAGGACTCAGATGATTAACGACGTCACTTGCTTTGACTTTTTTTGTCAATAATGAACCGGGTTGTTTTAATCTAACAACAATTAACATCTAATGGACACAAAAAAAAAGAAATGCAGTCCCGAAAAAAAGAGACTGACTAATAAAGTTACCTGAGTCTTGTCTTCTGCCAATGCCGACAGACCTTCAAGCTCAATTAGACAATTTGGATTATTGTTGAATAAACGATGTAAATTTTCGATAAATTTATCCTTTACTCTGGCAACATCAGCCAGTTTTTGATTAATGATCAATGAAACAAGACCATCTTCATCACGGGTACGAGGACGGACGCTATAAGAATATGTCTAAACCGAAAAATAACATTAGGAAACTCATCTTGTCACTCAAAAGCGCAGGCATCTAACACGACGTGACTATAACAATGGAGTACGTTATGATCCATTACTATGAGAATGATGGAAATTACTCTGTCGAGAGAAATTTACAATTTACTTACGTTAAATGCATGATACACTGATTTATCGTCAACTTCATACGCTCCTTGATGACAAAATGTCTTTCCGGTGCCATAAAATACTTGCAAAATATTCCACTTTAAAATTAAATCATCTCGTTCATCACTAAATAGATGTGGTGTAGTCAAAGACGTTATTAATATGTCATCTCGGTTATAAGCTTGTTGTTGTAGTTGTTGAATTTGTCCTGGAAATTGTGACTGTGGTTGAGGCTGTAGTGATGGAAAGCCGGCAAACGGTTGAGAGGTTGGTTGTGGTTGTGCTAGAATAAAGTGACGAATTACTGTCTGTAACACGTAGTCTATTATACTCTGCATATAAGCCTCTCTATACTACAAGATTTCTAAAGTTCGAGTTAAAATCAATTGAATCATTCGTACGTTATGTTACTGGATAGCTGATAGGCTATAGTACCTAAGTAACACTGTTGAGATTCAGTTATGATTATCTGTGACTACTAGTAAGAGTAACTGTGACAGCTGCAAGCATATTCCTATACGTTTTCAAATGCTTTTAATTGATTTAGCGTCTTTATATTAGAAGAAAAACTTCTGATTGGCAACAAAAAGCTGAAGCAGAAAATATTGGGTCATTCAGTGCCCAGAAGAAACTTTTCAGAAAAAATATATCTTATTCTTGAGTATCTTACCTCCACCGAATGGAAATGTTGCCATCGTGGTATTTACAGTTGGTCCAAAACCTCCAAATGTCGGCGGATTTGTTGTTGCTGTTGTATTAAAACCGCCAACACCAAGTGTTGGCTGTGTAGTAGACGCAGTAACATTTAGTCCAAATATGTTCATTGTCGGTGCCGATGTCGTCGCTGTGTTTGTTGCACCAAAGACAGGTCTGAACCCTGTTGAATTAAATGCTGGAGCAGAAGTGGTCACTGCTGGATTTGTTGGAGTAAAATTAAATGTAGATGCAGCGGGATTTGATGTTGCGCCAAAACCAGCAAACATAGGAGCAGCGGTATTCGTCGCTGCTCCAAATGCAAATGGGTTTGTCGTAGAGCTCGTGGTTGTGGCTGCACCAAATACAGGCCCATTGAAATTAACCGTTGTCATGTTTTTGTCAAATATTATCTGAAAGACAGAAGAACTAGCGTTTTAAATGATTAATTAATCGAGAGAGAACAGTTTACATATCTTTTATATCGTTTATATAAATATTTCGTCATATTACTAGTCATCTTGTGAGCTTGGAGAAGGTTGAAAATGCGATTGTTACCCACTTTGTAAAAAATCTCATTAAAAATGGATGAGGAATAAAGACAGCGCAAAACACTTGCCATACATAGTTAATTCTTGAGCCAATTAAACACAAACAAAATTTGTACAAAAGAATACGGAAAATATTATTTCTAAAGTTAAAACAGGTAGTGTTCTGTTTGTTGACGCTAACTGCATCAGTTTACGCTTTAGATAATCAACAATGGTATGGAGCAGCATTTCTAATGAGATTTACAATCAAAGTTGACTGAACCACTTTGCTCTGAAACAGAAGGTAGTCAAAGTGGTGTCAACGTAAGTTTTCAGCAAGCAACATCTAAAGATGTCACAGTTACCGTTACTTTGTAACTACGAATCTGACGTTACTTTTAGTTATTTTTCTTCTGAGTTACTTTTGTGTATAAATCTGAGTTAAATCTGTTCTGCGCTAACACTTGTAGTATGACTAAAATAAATGAAACGCTATGTGTTTTTCTTTTTCTGCAAATAAATGTAAGATACATCTCATCAGTACAGGTAGAGCAAAATATATACAATACAGAAATATAACAATATATTTATTTGATTGCGACAATTCGTCCATCATAGCCATTTCAGAAAGCAAAGTGTTTCTTTCTGTTTTCAGAGGAGACAAAAGAATGAAAATTGACTTTTACAAAGTAGAAGACCAGTTTGCTCTCACGGAGATTACCAATCGTTAGAAACGCTGATGTGAAGCGGAACCGGGATGATAGCAGAAAAGTACGAAAGTTTGTATTGATGGAAGTAGAAGTTGTCTGTGAAACATCGTCAGCTTGTCTAGAACTCTTTATATACATAACGGAACCATTTTACAAAAAAAATTCCCATTAATAGATCAAACCATCAATACATGAATGATGCGCGTTTCAAAAATGTTACAACATCAACTGAGTCATAACTAACTGTTATTTGCGTTTCTTTTCTCAATAGAAACATAGATTTCTGCCTTTCAAAAACTACGGAGTTATCTTACTTTTCCAAAATACTTTTTTTCTCATATTGTGGTTGATAACATATGTTTGGTTTCAAAATCTTATTTAATGTACATTGTGCTTAAAAACTGTGAAAAATGTCACAGAATGGGTGACATCTGTCGTGCTAAATTAGGTGAAAAGTTCTTCGATATTATTGTTAAAAGAGAGTTTCGAAACTAAAATTGTTCAAATTAGAGTGAAAAGAGTTAATAGAATAAGACATCATCGCACGCTGTCACAGATTTTTTCGATTTCGCTTAGTTTCACGAAGCATGCCTTTCTGGTTCGAAACAATGGCGTTTTCTTCCAATCCGGATATTTATATTGAATATTGTATTGTTTATAATAATTTTCCTTTTTTAGAAGACTTTCTTTTATAAGTATCTCGGGAATCTTATCTATAACTGCAGCATTTTATTGATCTAGAAATTCTCCAATACACGATGGGAAAACGTTAGAAGAATTAATAATAATATAATAATAGTCACCATATACATTGAAAATTTTTTATCTTAACCTCATCATTAAGATATATTAAACCTGAAGAACTGATTTTAAAATAGGATGTTTTGTGTACCTTGTGTGTTTTTTTGAAATTTCTAATATGAATCTTATCTGATGCTTATATAAGAAGTGGCATGAATGTTGCACGAATTTCGTAAGAATCAGATAAGAATTTCGTAAGAATCTTATAAGACTTTCATAAGAAAGTGATAAGAATCCTTTAACAGATTCTTACTAGATTTTTGCAGAAATTATTCTCTGTTCATTTCGTTCCAGTAAGATTTCATAGAAATAACTTTCGATAAGCGAAAGAATTTCAATAACGCAGTCTCATGTCTAGAATCCACTATCTTAAACTTAAAATTTCGGTGCACTAAATTATATTCTATCGTGATACACACCATTTATATACTCAAAATACTATGCACCACTTCTAACAGAAGCCCAAAGTTGAAAAAGATGTTGCGGCAGAATTTAAAGACGCGGTGCTTATATATAAATATGTCCGCAGTATCTCAATAGGAGAACCCATGGATTATTATCATGAATAACTTACCAGGTTCGAATTCTGAGCGAACCGGTTTTTTAAAAAATCTTCTTTTGTTCATTATTGTTTAAAACTAAAGAAAATTGCTGAGGGAACCATCGCGAGTGATCAGAAAAAATTTTGCTATACGAATTTCATAAGAACTTAATAAGAAACTAATAAGAACTCTAATCACTTTCTTATGAAATTCTTATAAGATTCTTACTCCACTCTTATCTGATTCTTACGAAATTCGTGCAACTTTCGTGCCACTTCTTATATAAGAATCAGATAAGATTCTTAGCAAAATTAGATAAGAAGCTGGCACGATCCTTACCAGATCCGTGTCCAATTCTTATATAAGAATTGATGTCTAGGGTTGTTTGTTCGTATTTTCTAGAAAAAAATTCAAAGAAAAATGATGAATGCACGAAGACCAGAACGTCAAGATCGTGAACAAGAATCTTTAACACGTATAGCCATTGTTAGTAATGATCGTTGTAAACCCAAAAAATGCAAACAAGAATGTAAACGTTCATGCCCCGTAAATAAAATGGGAAAATTGTGTGTCGAAGTAACATCCGAATCAAAAATCTCTAATATATCTGAAGAATTATGTATTGGTTGTGGTATATGTGTTAGAAAATGTCCATTTGAGGCCATAGCTATTATTAATTTGCCAAGTAATTTGGATAAAGATACAACACATCGTTATGGACCAAATGCATTCAAATTACATCGTCTACCAACACCACGACCCGGGCAAGTTCTTGGTTTAGTTGGAATAAATGGTATTGGAAAAACAACAGCCTTAAAAATATTAGCTGGACAATTAAAACCAAATTTAGGAAAATTTAATGTAATGTCAATATTTAGAGCAACTTTGAGCAAAACTATGATTTGTTTTCTCTCATCTGTTTTAGACTCCACCTGATTGGGAATATATTTTAAAATTTTTCCGTGGTTCTGAATTACAAAATTATTTTACAAAAATTCTAGAAGAAAATCTAAAAGCAATTCTTAAACCACAATATGTTGATCAAATTCCAAAAGCTGTCCGAGGAAATGTACAAGATATCCTGAATAAAAAGGATGAACTTGGAAATCAGGATGCAGTCACAAACGCATTTGGTGAGTAACAATAATTCTGCTAGAGACTGATTTCTAACATTTGTTTTCGTTTTTTACAGATCTACACAATATAAAAGATCGGAATATAGCGGATTTATCTGGTGGTGAATTACAACGTTTTGCATGCGCAATAATGTGTATACAAAAAGGCAATATCTTCATGTTTGATGAACCATCGAGTTATCTGGATGTTAAACAACGTTTAAAAGCAGCGTTGGCGATTCGAGATATGGTCAGCGAAAATCGGTAAAAAATTGTTCTTATCACCTACTTACTTTCTCCAAAGAAACAAATTATTTTCGATTGCTTCTTGTGTTTTCAGATATGTTATTGTTGTTGAACACGATTTATCCGTATTGGATTATTTATCTGATTTTATTTGTGTTTTATATGGTTCCCCTGGACATTATGGTGTTGTGACTATGCCATTTTCAGTTCGAGAAGGTAATTTACATGTTCTCAGACATTTTTATATGATTGAATTTTTTCTCGCTCTCATTGCAGGCATCAACATCTTTTTGGACGGTTTTATTCCCACAGAAAATTTACGTTTTCGTGATGTTGCATTGACATTTAAAGTTGTTGAAACAGCTGCAGAAGAAGTAGTAAAACGTTTATGTAACAATAATTATCCGTCTATGCAAAAAAAATTGGGTTCATTTGAATTATCAGTAGATGCTGGATCATTTACAGAATCAGAAATAGTTGTATTGTTAGGAGAAAATGGGACAGGCATGTCTCTCTTGTTGATATTCAACAGTGGAACATTTTTTTCTTTCTCTGTAGGAAAAACAACTTTAATACGAATGTTAGCTGGAAATCTAGAATGTGACGGTGAAATAGAAATTCCAAAATTAAATATTTCTTATAAACCACAAAAGATTAGTCCAAAATTTACCGGTACTGTACGCGATTTATTAAATTCAAGAATCCGTGAAGCAATATTCCATCCACAATTTCAAACCGATGTTGCTAAACCACTAAACATTGATAATATTATAGATCAGGAGGTATGACTCTTATTTTATCTTTTTATGTTGCTCGAATCAACTATAGAAATGAAATAATCTTAATTAGGTACAAAATCTTTCTGGTGGTGAATTACAACGTGTTGCTCTTTGTCTTTGTCTTGGAAAACCAGCTGACGTTTATTTAATTGATGAACCATCGGCCTATCTTGATTCAGAGCAACGTTTACATGCTGCTCGTGTTATTAAAAGGTATGCATTCCAGTACACTGTTACTCTTGCTTCATTTTTTTTCTTTTTTTATTGTTTTGAAGGTTTATTCTTCATTGTAAAAAGACTGGTTTTGTTGTCGAGCATGATTTTATTATGGCCACGTATTTAGCTGATCGTGTTATTGTATTCGATGGACAACCATCTGTTAAAGCACATGCGTCTAAGTAAGAAAGTTTTTAGGAGTCAAACGACGATCTAGCATAGTGGTTAGTTCTTAGAGATAGTCTAAGGCTTTTCTAAATTTATGTTGATTTTTTGTTGTTTATTTTGATTTGAGTTTTTGTTTTGTAGACCACAAGCGCTTGTTCCTGGTATGAATTCATTTTTGAAACAATTAGAAATAACATTTCGACGCGATCCAGAAAATGCACGACCGAGAATAAATAAATTGAATTCGATGAAAGTACGTCCTCTTTCGAAACCAAGATCTTACACTTCATTTGTTTTTTTTCTCTTTGTGTTAGGATACGGAACAAAAGTCAGCTGGTAATTATTTCTTCTTGGAATAAAAATACGTTTAGAACACCTTTATTTATTATGAAATGGGATTATTCGGTTGGCCGTGTGAAAAATGAGAAACAAACTATCAATAGAATTGAAATGAGCGAGAGAGAGAGAGACAGACAGAGAGAGACAGAGACACACAGAGATAAAAGAAACATTTGTTGCGCCAATAAAAGGACAGATTTGACAAGTGAAATGCTTGTTTTCATTGTTATTATCGTCGTCTTTGATTCTGTTATTTCTTTTGTTATCTCTTTTTTTTCTTTTGTTATTCTGAAATGAAACAATCAAAATAAAAAAATTAACGGAAATAGTGGAGTTCGTTCTAATCATGGATGGTAAAACGTAAACCTAGAACTAAGAGCAAATATTAAAATTTGATGTTTACTGCTAGCTAACTTTGGTTATTTTATTTATTCAGAAATATTATTAGATAACCTAGCGTTCAGATAGGTCGATGCCATAATGCTTTACACATTTGTAAGAAATTGATCTATCTAATATTACAAGATGTGATCTGCTATTGAAAACTGGATTCATTACATTATTTATCACTTGATTAGCCGTCTGTACATCCTTGAAATAAATTACATCTAAGTCACTCCCTCAATTCGAGGGGAGTGACTTAAATGTATATATTATCGGAAAAATGATGTTTTAAAAATCCGACGTTGATTTAAGGTTGTTATATATTCATTTTATTTTAGATGTATATTAGATCATGTTTAAGCATTTACAATGAGTTCAATGCATTTTAGCTAAAGTACTTCTTTTATTTTTCCTTAAGTTTTTCCTTTTCTATTTTAATTACGAATGATTTCGTATCTCAATGATGAATATGGAAAATATTAAACTTGAAAATATTCCGGTAAGAAATAAATAGTAAGCCTATTTTCTCATTAAAAATTATGACATTTTTTTTAGGCATTTTGTGCACGTGTAAATGTAAACGGTATTCAACGAACAAAAGATGATTATATTAAAAATCAAATAAAATCAATCTTTCATTCGTTGACTTTTGAAGATCTTTTACTTAATGTTGAACAGTTAAGAAGTCGATTATTACAATTAGGATGTTTTAGAGATGTAGCTGTCGTTATTGATCGAGCCAAAGGTGAGCATAAGATGTGACATATGTTTGAATATCAAGCTAATATCAGTTCTACAAGAGTATAGGCATACATCTGCTACGGTTAAATTTAACCATAAATAACTGAATCGAACAGTTAACCGTTCTGATATACTCATTTCCGTATTTTTTGACACGAAATGAGAGTAATGTTATAAATATCTAAACAAAATTTGTCAGCACATCAAAAGGTGTGAAAAATTTTTACTTTGTACTATCACTTTTGGGGCATAAGAATAAACTTTTTTTTTAATACAAGTGCGAGTATGATCATTTTGGTATGCACACAAAAACAGCGGAAGCTGTATATGGTAGAAACGAGCTTTTAGGCTCTATAAGTGTGTGAATTAGTAGTTAACCATTCACCGGTTATTTACCATTACGGTTATCAATTAATAACCATAATCGATGCATGCCTACAAGAGTAATGAGGATGAGTCGGTATAAGATGAAATGCATACGGACAGAAGCTATCAGATTTTTAACCATTATTTGTTTATTCATAAACATTATTACAACTTAGGATCAAAAGTTCAAAATAGTTATGATATTACTTATCTCACTGAAGAATTTCGTCCATTATCGGGTGGCATCAATACTGCAGTTGGACAAAATGAAGGTTCGATAGTATGTAGATGTTATTTTTAGTTTTTTTAGACTCAATTCTTACTTATTCTTCTTGATTTTTAAGTGTACAAATTTTTCATTACCAAATTTATTTGGACGTGGTGAAAAAGTTGGAATTGACTATTCATATAGTAATCGTGGAAATACAGAGGGTAGATTAATTTATTCAATGCCAACAAAATTAGATCCAAACAAACAGTATGTTGATGATTTGAGCTTTTTGAATTTAATTTATCATGAATCATTAATAATTTAGATTTTCAATCTCAGCATTTCGTAGTCATTTTGATAATACATGGAGTTCATTCAAACAAAACGATCATGGTATTAATGTATCTTATAATGTAGGTATATATCATAAAATATTAAACTAAAAAATCATATCGTTTACTCTTTGACTTTAGATACCAATCATCAATTTTAATCAAGCATATCATAGTTTCAGTTGGGAAGGTATTTGGCGTTCAGTGATGGCTGCACATCCAAATACATCGCTTGATGTTCGAAAAGATGCTGGTCACTCACTGAAATCATCGTTAAAAGTAAGATTATTGTATTAGTTTCTATTCGTCATTTATCCTTCGCTTATACTATCTTTTAGTACTCAGCCACAATCGATACTCGTGATCATCCAGTTATTGCTCGTACGGGTTCATATACTCAAAATTCAGTAGAATTAGCTGGACTTGGTGGTGATGTTAATTTTCTAAAATTAAGTACTCTTAATCAATATAATTTATCATTACCATTTAAATCTATCCTTCAATTATGTTTATCATCTGGCTATGTTCGACCACTAGTTAAAAATCAGATGATTAAAATTAATGATAGATATTTTCTTGGAGGACCGTTAAATATTCGAGGATTTGATTATCATGGTGCTGGTCCCCATAGTGAAGGTAAAACGACAAGTTTTTTCTAATAAAAACAAAATTATACGTCATAATGGTTACGTACAAATCGAGTGACTATTTTATTTAGGTGCTGCATTGGGTGGTGACTGTTATTGGGCATCCGGTTTACATCTTTATACACCATTACCATTTTTATACAATCGTGAAAATTTAATGTCCTATGTGCGTGTACATTATTTTTTGAATGCTGGAAATGTTTTGAATACTCAAAATTTATGTATGTATCTCATTATAAATGCGAATCATCTATATATATCCAAGTTTGATATTTTTAGCATCAACACAGTCATTTTGGTCACAATTAACAGCATCTACACGTTTATCCTGTGGACTTGGTCTTGTTTTAAACGTTATGAATGTGGCTCGTTTAGAATTAAATTATAGCATACCTTATTGGACACAAAAGGGAGACAAGTAAGCATTGGCTCTACCTTCTCGGTTGTTCTAACAGTTATTTCTTCTATTATCTCTATTTAGAGCTATCAGAGGTTTTCAATTTGGTGTTGGATTTACGTTTATTTAAAACAGTTAGGGTATTATTCTGTCGACTAGATATATAACTTTTTTTGTGCGTATCTATTTCTATATGGTTTTTAGTAGTTATTATGTTCTCTCACACTGAGAAGAGACCCATGCTTCCATTTTGTCTGACTTTGTTACATCATTTTTATTGATTTCAGAGAATAAACATTTCATTAAGGAAAAATTAGTAATAATCAAGATGAAAAACGCTCTATAATACGTATAATATATAAATGGGTGTGGTCGATGCGTCACGCTTTAGTAACATAATGTATTATTACCTGTTAATTCTTTGATTCATCAAGGTTCGTATAAACGAGCGTTCCTAAATCTAAACATTATATCGTGAGTTTATGTGCTTATTTTAAACTCTTTTTGACAAATGTTTTTCGTCGAAAACTTGTATTGTTATTAATAGCAATTATTTTTCATTCATTCATGTAAAATATTAATGAAAGAGATTACAATTTGTTTTTTCTGATTCTCTCTCTCTTACGTACGCACACTTTAAGATATAACGATCATAATTACGTGAAAAACAAGAAAATGTTTTAATTTCCTTATTTTGAATAATAAAGACGATGTGATTTTGTCATCGATCATAGCTAATAATAATAAAAGTTTTGAACTCTTCTCGTTTCTCAAGAACGAATTTGTTTCATCAAAAGCGGTAGTATAACCTGTACGATTGATTTAAAAAAACAGAGTGAACAATTCTCTTTAAAGCGAGATGACTACAAGTTCTGTACGATCTTCTATTAATTAGTTATAATGATTCGAAACAACAGTCGAATACAGTAAAATAGAGTGGAATTTGAAATATAGGAGAATAATGACTAAAAACTATTTGTTTTGCATGCGCTCTTTATGTATAAAGTATAAAAGATTTAACGAAAATACACTAAGGATTTCTCAATTGTTCTCTCAAAATATTGACATCAGATAGATTGTCAATTCCATCCTATGCTCATGGTAGTGAACAGAAGGAGTCTTGAAATTCAAGACGCCATAAAATAAATAAGACGAATAAATTTATCAGTCTTGAAATAAGACCTTTTGATCGTTGTTATTATAATATCTACTTATGGAACTAATCGTCAACCAACTTATGGATTTTATTTTAAGACGGATTTGCTTCTAGATTGAAGACCGTGTAGTACTCGCACCCGTCTCATTTTGATTAGAATTGTTTAGTCAATCTTTCTAGACCAATCGCGAAAGTTTTGTAATTGTCTTTTTTATTAAAAAACAGATTTTTAGCTTAATTTTAAAGAACAAACAGTTTTTGAAAAGTTTTGATATAATAACGACATATACATTTCATAATTCATTGAAACTTCAATTACTTGTTGGATTTTCTTGAATTCAACGAGTGATGAAAGAAATTTTGAAGAAAAAATTGAAAAACCAAAGTGCCTTATATTTTTGAACGACATTTTATATAGAGAAATATCGAAAATATGCCGGTGCAATGTGACATACGGATAAATACATTTTTGACTCATAGTCCATATATAGAGCAAACAAAAATATTACTCTTCGTTTCACCTGGACAATTTAGCATCGCACCACGGATCTTCTTGTTGCTGATTGGTCATCTGCTTTTAACTTCATCAACAGACCATAGTTTGAACTGCTAAGAAATAAATTGTCACCTGTATCCAGGTAAGAAAACACACAATTATGTTCACACGATCAAGCTATACGGGACTTTTTTTTCTATCAGAAAAAAGCTATTATGATAGTTCTCAAAGAAGTGTGTAGTATGTTACTAAACACACCCTAATTTTCCTAAATAATGTTTTTCTCGCAGATTTAGAACTGTTCAGTAACGATACTAACCGTAAAAACAAAAACAATGATATTCACATAATGCATGTGCTTTTTCAAACAAATCTTTTATGGATCGTGCTCATTTTAGTACCATTACTTGTAATTAGTTTAATCTTCAATTTTGTTCTCCTTAAATGGCGATCACGGATAAAATATGAAAAAAAGAGACATGTTGATAGAAGTTTGACATATCCACGTCAGTATCCGTGCGGTTGGTATCGAATTTGTGATAGTGATGAAGTAAATAAAGGGCAGGTAAAACATATATGCGCACTTGGTCAAGAAATGGTTGCATTTCGAGGAGAAGATGCTGTAGTATGTGTTTTGGACGCATTTTGTGTTCATATGGGTGCTAATCTTGGATTTGGTGGTACAGTCATTGGTAATTGTATTCAATGTCCATTTCATTTATGGGAATTTGGAAAAGATGGTGTTTGCACAAAAATTCCGTATAGTGATAAAATTCCTCCAAATGGTAATATATTTTCATATCCTTGTGTTGAAAAGTACGGCATGATTATGATATAGTATCATCCTAATCGAGAAACTCCTCACTATGATCCTATAAGCGTAGATGATATTGATAATAAAGATAAATTTGTTGCACGAGGAAAATATAAATATCCAAATATAAAAATGCATTGACAAGAATTTGCCGAAAATTCAGCGGATACTCAACATTTTAGCCCTTTGCACGGTACAATGATTATACCATGGACAGAAATTATGATTCCATTTATTAAACTTAATCACGTAGCATCATTTGCTCTTGGTTATGAGAAACATATTGCATATTTTTATGATACGGCAATGTTAAATATATTTGGTGAAAAATATCCAAAAACAGAAGTCGCTGCTAAAATAACATTTTATGGTCTTGGAGGAATTACATTATTCCAATTTGATGGTGAATTTGGTCGATTATATTTATTTCATTGTCATACACCCACGGATTATACATGTTTAGATGTTGAATTTTTAGCATTTGTTGAAAAAAAAGTTTCAAAAATTTTGAGCTGGTACATTATTGGAAATTGGATTTCACAATGGAAACGAGATATCATAATATGGGAAAATAAAGTGAGTTATTGTCTCTTATAACTTTTGACTTTTCGAAATACAATCATGCATATGTTTAGATCCATAAACGAGCACCATTTCTCGTCAAAACAGACGGTCCAATAATGAAAATGAGACGATGGTATAAAGAATTTTATGTGCAAAAAGAGGAAGCATTTGATTGGTAATTCTAGATCAGCTATAGAATGACTTTTTTTGTAGATTATTAATTCAAACTAAAAAAAATTCACATTGTTTTGTTTACACGTTCTTGTGTATAAAAATTGAAGAAAATTATTGATATTTAGTTATAGTGGTATAATTGAAAATTGTTGAAAAATATTGAAAAAAAATATCATTGTTAAACGTGTAATAAAATAAACGGGAAAAAGAAAATATTAAATATTAAATAACGCTCTTGAAAGAAGTACCATGGGCATAAATCATTTTAGAGTTTTAATTAGAACATTTTCCTCTATCAACTGGCATAAGATTATTGAAAATGGAGTTTGACACCTGGGAAGGTTCTCTCGTAAGGATAAAAATGATTTAATATTTACAATAACAATCTAAAAGAAACGTCTTAAAATAAGATGCATAAGTTGGTTGCGAATTGTGAATGCCATCATCTTATTCTAGCCATCTCTAGAATCTCGACAGGAGTAGTATAATCTTGGTGAGTGGGATCATAACACTACTTAAAAGAGTATTGATTTTGTGTTTTGATAGTTTAAGTTTCAGAATGATATAATGGGAATTTATATTCTCGATTTCGTTCTGGTTCAAGATTAAAGCTTAAACCAAGAGTATTAAGCTCCCTTAGTGACTAAAAATTAAATGTAAACAAACTTACGAGGGAACCTCACTAACTGATACCCTCCGGGTGAGCTCATACTTTGCTCATAGGTAGGACTCATAGTGTAGATAAAAACTCTAAAAGGATTCATCCCCTTGACTCTTGAAGACCTGGTTTTCTGAAAAAACAGTTTTTCAGAAACTCTAAAAAATAAC